TTTTTCTTCGATTTTACATATAAAATTATGCACGAAGATCATTAATTTTATATATGAGTGACACTTGACCCCCTGTAAATCCGCAATGTCCTGCGACTGTTATTATTATCTATTTCTCTCACGTATCACGAATTAATGTGTACTATTTTTTAAAAAAATCCCAAATGTCAAAAACCAATATTCGTAAAAGAAATAAAGAACAAGATGCCATGGAAGTAAAAGAGTAAGTGTCGTTTATTAAAGAATGGTGGTGGTTATCCCCACTTGTCATCACTCTAGTTAATTATATAAAAATACAATTTTTATGATTTTGAACGTGGTACTATTTATGGTCTATTGAAGGAAATAAATATTCTACAACATAACAATAATATTCGTAAGACATTAATTTTTTTTGTGGGATTTTTCCGATTTTTTTAATGATTTTAGTTGTTTGGTAAATTACTCAAAAACTAGCTTCCAATACTTTACAACAAACACATTATGCTCTTTTAAAGAAATTAATAATAAAATGTATTTTGGAACATTCTAGATGAAAAGACATCTACATGTCTATCTGATGATTTTTGATGTGGACTAGTATATTTGATTAATTAGTTGTGACTAGGAAAAAATCTAATCTACTAGCTGCAGCCTACAGTTCTCCAGCTGACTTGCAACACTAGTTATTATGACAACCTACAAATTTTGATGCCAAAGATCATCGTCACTGCCATGAAGATAACAAAGAAGGAACTTGCAGAGCGTGTAAAGTATGATTTTGTTAAATCTGATGGCTAAGTTCAAATATGTTGTATTTATTTTTTGGAAGAATTCTATGATTCATGGAACCCCAGAAACTCGAGTAGAGGCTCAACCACAGGAGATTCTCTTGATAGCACATTATGTGATTTGTTTTCAAATTGGTTTCAAAAGTTCGATTTGTTATACTATTTGTATTATTTTTGTTGTAATCGGAATAATCGAATGGCTTTGACTTAACTAATAACTCTAGACGAAAAGTGGACATTGGATCAACTCAAATGTTTTAGATTAAACAAAATTGGTAATTTATAAAGTGCTGTTTTTCTCGATTTCAGACTTTCATCATTCTAGCATTAGATTATTTATAATCATAAACATTGTAATGGATATATGGAACAGAAGGTATAGTGTAGATACAAGAAAATACTAAGCAATGAAAGAAAAATAGGTTCAAATAATACGTAGAAAAATACATAATAATTCATATATAAAGATATAAGACAACAAACCACCAGAGCAATTGCATGGGAAGAAAATACTTAAATCCAAGCCATTTATGGAGATCTATATTATTTATTATTATCTTTTTTTTTTATAGTGGAAGCAGTGACTCCTTTGTTCTCTTCATGTTACTCATGGATTTCAGTTGCCACTTTATTAAATGAGAAATCTGGCTTGACTCAGCCTCTTTATCAAAAGTATCTACAAAGTTTCAAATATTTTTATTCACTAATTGGTTTGCTTGTTTTCTTCTAAGCTCATTTGAATTAATTATTTTTATTAATTTTTTGGTTTACATTCTAAAAGTTTTTACAAGTTTTGTAATGAAGCAAGAAGCCAAGGAAAGGTCTAAACAATAAATATATCTATAAATTAATTTCGATGTTTCACAATGATACGATGTCTATGTACACATTGATAATACTATCCAGCAGGTCAAAAAAGGTTCTTTATAAGGAAGGCTTTCGTAATAATTTTTCCCCACACTTTAGAAGGCATAGAGATCACGCCAAAATTCATCATCAAAGGAGGATTCTATTTACCTTGCATGTTAATTAGCAAGTAATGTTGGTATTTGAAAATTCCTGTTTATCGAGCAATTTTATATAAATTTTCCTTCTATTTTTGGATGAAGTTAATAATGATAATATTATTGATGATAATACACTATATTGCACGTCATAAATATTTTAATTATCACTATTCTAACTTCTAAATTTTCTTTAATTAGGATATGAGTGTCTAAAGTATCTGAATGGAAATCAAAAATCAACCAATAAATCAACCAACGACTGTTCAATAGACTTTTGACGGAATATGATTCTTTAGCAATTAAAAGCCTTTGTGGGAATAAGTTCATCGCATTCCTTTGTTTTTGGCACAAGTTAACTTGTATATTATTATTTATTTGATTTATTTGGTTATATTGATGTTCATGTTCCTCGCTTGTCATTATTTTAACGCATTTCTCAAGTCAAGCTTCATGTTGAATTAAAACATGAGACATTTACTGTCCTTCGAACCTATTGAGATAGTATCAGAAGAGCTTGTTGTGACATTCCACCACAATCTTGAATATTACAGTCCTGGACTACGTTTACATATATTGAAAGCAATCATGTGGCAGGCTAGGTGACATCTTAGTTGGCGAGCAAATAAAATTATGTGTTGCTTTGTCATAGTGAGCGAGCGAGCGAGCGAGTGAGTGATAACAAAAATTAAAGAAGATAAAGATATTATAGTGTAAACAATAACAACAATTCAATTATTGCTTCTACAACTATTTGTTGTGCAGCCACACCACACGTAATTGATTTTAAAGAAGAACACACACACCATTTTAAAACCTATATATACGTTGGCAATTTTCAACTTGAATGATTCATGCTAAATTCAGACAGAATAAATTAAACTTTGGATTTCTGAAAAAAATCTCAACACGCGCACAAAAATCATTTAGTAATGGTGATGATGGTGGTGATCTTCTTTTCGATAAGTTATTTGCAAGAAAATTCATAGTTAGTTCTGCTATTATAGATATGAAAGCTATGATGCTAAAACTCGCTCTTGTAGGGTATGGTTGAGATGAGAAAGTGTTGCCATATCTTCCTTAGATTAAAATTTAGTTTAACAAAACTTTCCAGAGATAGCAAGTACGTAATAATCTTTTGCTAAGAAAAAGAAATTAATTAATTAAATTCTTGATAAGCTCCACCAGGATATCACACAAAACAGATATTGCTTAATCATAGGTGGCCATGAGAATTTGTGTCAACAATTAAAAGTTCTAAATGGAAAAAATCAATCAACAATTTGATTCTGACCCATCACTTTGATGAAAGTGTAGGAAATCAAACTGCCCAAATTTGTACCTTTAGAGAAAAAAGTATTTATTGGAATCGTTCCTAAATGAATCATATTCTTTTGAATAAAAGAAAATTTTGATGAAATAGCTAATTGGGAAGAAAAAATGACAAATGATGATAACGATATAAAAATCAATTTAAAACTAATACCATTCGGGGCAATTTTTTATTAATACACAATCTCTTACATGTATAAATAAAAAAAAATTTTATGATAATATGAAAGATTTTTCCAATTCTTTAATAATTAAATCCACCAACTTGATACGATTTTCATATGTAACATTCAAAACTTTGATTTTATCATCATCATCTTTAGTATTCTTGGTGATGGTCAGAGAAGTAGAAGAAGATGCACTATTTCTAATTTTATTAGCTAGTCCTTCAGATTTCAACGAAACGGTTCCCAAAATAAACATATCGTCATCTTTATCTTTATTATTATTATTATTATTATTAAATATCAATCCATCAACCAAATTATTAAATTGATTTGAAAAACTTTCCATTTTACCAATTTCATCAATGATGATTAAAGATTTCTTTCTCTTGTTGTTATTATTGCTATTGCTATTATCATTTGCTTCTTTGGCGAGATGTAACGATGGTAATGCCAATCGATCAAATTCAGTAATGTCAACATAATAATCGCCTACTCTTGGTAAATTATTATTTGTCGTGATGTAATCTTTCTTACGTGCTAAAATACCTCGATTACCATCTAGAGTTAACACATCAAAACCAATTCTATGATTTTTGGTGGCGAAGGTGGTGGTAGTTAATTTATCATAATCATAGTTATCAACATTGCCGTCGTTGTTGGTAACTTCGATCGTGTAGAAGCCTTTTAAATTTATTTTGTCAGAATGATTCTTTTGAAAATAGGAAATGATCTTTTTGATTATTGTTGATTTTCCAACACGTGGTTGGCCAGTTAAAAATATTGATCTAGGTGGCGGTGGTGATGACATTAGTTATTATTATTATTTAAAAAAAATTTATGATCCAATCTGTAGATCCCAATATAATGATTTTTTAACTCTTTTATTTATTTATTTATTTATTTATTTATTTTAATTTCTTATATATAACATAAATCTATATTTTATACATATATATATTATATGTACAGCTTAAATTCATCTATATATTAACAATGCGAATCATAAAATTTACATAATGTACAAGCTTAATTTTCTATTACTAATCGTATTTTACATAAATTATTAATTAAAATTATTAATAATAATAACCTAGAATAAAATTAATCTTAAAAAATATTTATATATTTATAATTAAAGTTGCATATAGGCGTATGTGAGAAAGTATTTGACAATGGATGATATTATATTTGTTTGTTAGTTAATAGACGTTAGTTCGTTAGTTTTTTTAACAATGTGGTGGTGATGATAATCTGTTTGTTTGAGGTGATAACCTGTTTGGTGTTGTTGATGATGATGACGATTATTACTAAAACTATATAATTATTGTATGACAAAAAAGACAATATATTTGTTAGAATTCAATATTTCAAATATTCAAAAAATTATTGATTTAATGAAAATAAAATTAAAAATATAGAGAATTGAATGTTAAGTTAGAGAGAGAGTGAGAGCGAGAAAGAGAGAAATGTTTGGTGATATAAGTATTATTGCTATGTATTTAGTTATCAAGAGTAGTATTACTAGCATCATCATTATCGAAGTTTCGTTCTTTTTTCCTTTCGTAAATTAACAATAATTAGTTTGTTGGTGAAGAAATAGGCTGTGGGTGGGTGGTTGTGAGTGGGTGTGTGGGTTGTGAGTGTGAGGATGGTGAGTGTAAGTGGTGATTAGGTGTGTAAAAATTTTACAAGTTGAAAATTGCGCAGAGAAATAATTTATTTTTCATCATTTATTATTATTATTTTATATCACACACATTCATTTATTCATGTGTGTATGGATTATGATTATGAAGATTAAGAAGAAACAGAACGGAACGTTCAAATCAATCAGTGAGTCTGTTTCTTTCGCTCTCTTTTTTATATAAACCTATTCTCTAATTCTCTATGTAATTTATCTCTGAATATTTCTCATATCTTTCTATATATATATATTATCTTAAAAATCTGTTTCTCTCTATCTCACTCACACACTCTCTCGTGTATTATTCATAGCAGATCAGCATAATAAATATGACATTCAATATATAAAATAAACACGCGCGTGCAATAATATGTAAATTTTTCAATGCATATGATCTTATTATTATTATTATTATTATTATTATATTATTGTTATTATATTATTATTATATGAAATTAATGATATATATAAAATTTTTTTCTGGAAGGAATGAATGGTGATGATATTATAAGGATTTGAAGAAATGAAGATGATGATGATGATGATTTGAAGGAAGAGAATATATGTAGGTATAATGTAGTAATAAATGCAAAGAACAATAATGCAAAGAATATATTATGAATGCAAAAGAAAATATTGTGTGTGTAATATGCAAAAGAGTCTAATATGCCAAATAAATAAAAATCAGGATCTATATAATGAATGATTAATTACCTGTTGTTATTACCATTACTTGAAAAATCATCTTCATCGTCATCATCGAAATCATAATAATGATGACGATTATTTCTATTTCTAAAGAAACTACGAGCAGCTGTTGCAGCAGAAGGAGTAGAAATTATATGACGAGGACCAGTCTTAATTTTAACAGTTTTGCAGATTTTATTTCTAATAATATTTTTATCTCCTTCACCTTCACTGTCACTATCGTCGTCGTTGTCGTCAGACATAGAAACAGCGGCCATTAATGAACCGGTTACTACCGAGGTTGGTTCAGATTGATAACCAAAACATTCCTCATTGTTATTTAATTTGTGATTTCCATTTAGACAATTTGATTCGAACTCTTCAATTTCACGTTGTAAATAACGTAGATCATCATGTAATGAGGAATATTGGTTACGAAATTGGTCATAATCTGATTGTTGATCTTTGCGTGCCAAATCTATATCCGATTGAATTTTTTCGCATCTTAATTGACTCTCGTCAACTTCCTCCTCGTCGTCTTCATTGTTGCCAGGTTGATTTAGTTGTTGCAAATATTGATTTTTTAGTTCTTGTATCCTTTTTTGATGTTTATTTATGTCAAACACTTCTTCATCGTCGTCGCCGGCTGATGAGGCGGCCGAAGATGAGGGAGAGGAATTGAATGATGACAATATTGAAGAAGAAGAGGGTGAAGAAGGAGTAGATATTATGTCTTTTGGACCATTACCAATTATACTATTACTATTAAAAAAATCATCAATGTCCTCGCCATATAAAGCAGGGGAAGAAGCGTGTTTTCTTAATCGTGATTTTGTTGGAACGGCGTACGGAGACACTTCATCATCCCAATGCGGAAAAGAAAATTTTTCCTCTGTGTAGACTGCTTCATCACCACCACTTACGTTTGACGGGTAGTTGTAACGTGAAAATTTCGGATATTGGTAAGGAGAATAAATGCCGTTGATGGCGGATACGTTATCATTGTTGTTTTCTTGTCGTATTTTTATTTGTCTATGCACCATTTTGGTTGATTTTTAAATTTTGATAAGAGTAAAAAAGAGTTTATACACAAAGACTTGAAAAAATTTGTACAAGGTTGTTTTTAAGAAAGGAAAAATATATTACAAGGATATATTTAAGAATATATGTATATATTATATATGTGTGTATATATGTATATAACACGTCGTTAGATTAAGAATTTTGAAAAAAAGTAGATTTGTTGAAAAGAGTAGAGAAGAATAATGTTTTTATATATTTAGATATTATATATATATAGAATATAAAAAATATTTACGAAGAAAAAGAAAAAGGAAAAAATAGAAAAACGTTTAATAATATATATATGTGTGTAATGAATAAAAAAAGAAATATCGAAGAGGTATATAATTTTAATTAATTAAAAATTTTATTAATTAGTGAAGAATATAAACTCTTGATATAATCAAAAGAGAAAAGAAAAAAAAGAAGTAAAAAATTTCCAAGAGTTTATATGATTTTTTTTTCTTTATAGTTTACTAAAAAGTTTCTTTATAGTTTCTTTTTAGTTTAAGGAAAATTTTTTTTTTTTTTTCGAATATTGTTTATTAATATTATTGTTTGCGTGTTGTTCGACGCTGAGAATGAAAATTGACTATTGTTTTTTTTTTTTGATAAATTTTTTTGATATTTACCACTTTTGTTATTTGGTATGTTTTGTGTGGTGAAAATTTAATTAATTTTTAAATAATGTTGTTGTTGTTTGTTATTTATTTATTTTTCACTGATTAGTAAATTTACTGACTGGGTAAAATTTACAGATGACGATGATGTTATAAATTTATTTTGACTTGAATGAGACTGACAGACTGACTGGATTTTTCAATAACGGATTCTTAAAAAATTGTATCTCCTTTTTAAAAATTTTTTTATGGTAATATCGTTAAAAGTAATTAATTATTGTAAAAATAAACTTGACTGATGATGACGCTACTACTGATTTATTAATTGATAATTGATAATTGATTGATTGATGATTGTTGTGTTGTTGGAATGATGTAATGAAGTAAGGGTTGTTATTATTACAAACGACAAAAAAAAAATTGTCGAATTTATCCTTCTGGTTGTTTCTGTTACCGTCTCCGATTGAAAATTTGATAGAATATTTGAAATATATAATTTCTCAATTTAGTTTTTTTAATATATTGAATAATGATAATTAGTTTTAGTTGTTTGTAGAATAGTTTTTAATTATTATTTTTAGTTATTTGGTTAGAAATTTTTTAAAAAAAAAACTAGTTTATTTTTATTAAAGAATATTAGTAATATAGAATATATATATATATTATATTATATATTTACAAGTATAATAATTATTAATATATATATTACAAAGAGAGGCGTTTTTTTTTTTTTATTTTTTTTTTTTTATAATTATTTGAGAATGGAGAGTTATATAACAAATTATTATCACAATAGAAAAAAACTAAAATTAAAAAGGAATAAAATAACTACTTTATTTGTTTTATTTGTTTTTGGATGAAATGAAAATCACTTCTAATTTTTATAAGATATATGAAAGTTTTAAATAGCAACTAAAACTAATCAAATGTTTGAAATAACAATATTTTGTTTGTTGGAACGAGGAGATTGAAAAAGATTAAAAAAAAAGGAAGGAGAAAATTAAACAAACGATTGGGATTTTCTCTCTCCGACACACTGACTATTATTATTTATTGTCTTGTTTCTAGTACTAGATCATTATATATATATATATATATATCTACTACTACACTACAAACAACTATTTATTTATTATGTTGTTTGTTTATCATATTATTTTAATTTCACATTATCACACAACAACATATTTGGCAACGACTCTCCTGTCAATCGCCCAAATAAATAACAAAGAGGAGAAACAAATATTTATATTACCTAGCAATAAGTCGAAAACGTGAAATTTTACCAAAAATTTGATAATTTCAGCATAATTTTCATTATTATGTAACACTCAAACGATATCGATATCTTTAAATGCTTTAAACGATGGTGTGATTAAATAATAATCGTCCACATCTTTTAACTTCATCTCATCTAACTAAACCTTATCGATAAATGATCAGCATATTAATTTGTAAATTATTTCCAAATTGGTAATCAATATCGGTATTGCTGTTGATTGGTAAGTGTATATCTAACTGGTTTAACTATTTTTAGACAAACTAGTTTAGAAAATGATTTATTTTATTTGCAATGAGAACCTGTTTTAATACTTGTTATTTTTTTATATTATATTATTTAATTTATATATATATATATATTTTATATTTTTATTCCTTATCCCTCCCTCCTCTACCTCTACCTCTTCCTCCTCTCCTCCCCCTTTTTTCTTTTCTAAAATTAAAATTAAAGCATGATATGGTGATATAATGACGATGATAATAATAATTCCTTAGCAATTGCTTTGGCGTTATATTAGGAAAATTAATATATTTTCTTGGAAGAGAAAGATGACAAGAAAAACATTTAAGGAAGATAAGAATTTTCATTCTTGAATATTCATTTGTTTCCTAATCAATACAATTAAATAATTAAAATTATTTTTTTTATTTATCTAAATAATTTCCTTATGTAAATGCAGTGTAGTTGCAGTGTACATAAGAAAAAACTATGTACGCGTTTTTATTTATTTTCCAACTTATTTACTATTCAATTACATGTTATTTTATTATTATTAGAATTTATTACCTTATTTCTCAAAAATGTTTTTTGTGTGAGTGGTAAATCTTATTTATTATTATTATGCAGAAAATAACAACTAGTATGAAAAAAGGAGCAAGGAATAAATTTCCCAAAACTAATTTTTAAATTTTTCTATTACTAAAAATGTGATAATTGCCAGGTGAATTATGTGACATGACAGGACATTTTCATTGTATTCAAATTTGTACTTTATATACATACCGTTTTTGGAATGGTTACACCATGTCGATCATGTTGATTCATTGTCTAAAGCGAAATACCGATTTATTCCATAATTTGCAACCAAGCTGGATCATTTTACTATCCTGCCTGTTACCACTCATTACCCTCCCATTCGCTCTCTCTATCATCGCTACCATTATATTACTGGTGAGAAAGTGAAAATGTATTGGTTTTTTTTATAGAAAACGTAGTAATTAAAAGTATTGGGTAGATCAGGAATTTTTGATGGGTGGAATAAATGTCCATTATTATTACTATAGAAGATACATATACGATTAGTGTAAAAAATATGCAATGACATTGGACTTTCAATTATTATTTTTATTATTTAACCATCTCCACATACGCACGCACATACAAAAAAAAATTTTTTTTTCTACTAAATAAATCATTTCATTAATTTTTTGTTGGATTTGACCAATAACTCTAATATTAAATTGGTAAGCAACGCAATCACGGGTCTCGTCCGTTCATAAATTATCAATGACGTAATATGCTGCTTTTATTTTCAATATATTAATAATCTAATTATTATTATTTATATATATATAATTGACAAATCGATCAAAACAAATAAACAAAAAACATCAGATATCGTTATAGATTATTTATTTTTTTGCTAAATCAACCAATAAATAAATAAATTCCATTTCACCAAGACATTCATTCATTCATTCATCCATTATATATAACACATATGGTAATGTAACAAATTTATTTTTTTGACACGTCAAAACAAACAAAATAAATCGACATTACAATTTGAATTGTTGTTGACTGACAATTACACGTGTGTTTTCTATTCTTCTTGTCTCTTTTTTTATACACCACATTTTTTTTCTCTCACCATTGTTTTTTTATTATTGTTGGTTGTTTTTTAAAATTCGTGAAAAATGTGTGGAGTAGCAGTGGTTTTACTGAATTTGCTGAATTAATCTAAAAACTCCTTCATTGTTTTAACTAAATAATGATAGCAACAATGATAATAGAGACTAAATTATATTTTCATTTTGTGTGGGAAGCAGCAGTTGATGAATGAATTACTGGTTATTTCTATTATTATTATTATTATTATTATCATTATTATTATTAATTATTATAATTAATATTATCTATCGTTATCATTACCATCGTCGTTATTATTTATTATTACTATTATTGTGATTTTCATATTCAAATATCGAAAATTTTTTTTCCTTCATCCTGCAATTCCGCCGCCCTTTCCTCTCTCTCTCTCTCTCTCTCCACTAAATCATATTGTCAATAATTTTTAAAAAAAAAAAATTATTTATTTATTTTTTTCACTCTTAATATATATATATATATATATTATATGTAATGTTATGTAAATACACACACTATAAATGATAATAATAACAATAACAATAATAATTGTAAAGAATTATAGAGTTTAATTGTGTGTGTTGTATATTGTTCAAACTGTATTTTACATACAAATAATATTTTGTGTGTGTATACTTTAACGAATTTGGAAAGAAATTTGAATTGAAAAAAAAAATTTTAATTTGAAAACGATGATAATTTCGGACATTTTTTTTTTTAAAACGAATTAGTCATTCAATTTAATTAATCGATTAAATTTGATATTAATAATCGATTAATTAATCAATCAATCAATTAATTAATTAGTGAGGGAAAAATAACTTCTTTTGAATAATATGAATGAATGAATGAGTGAAAAATAGGAAATGAATTATGATATCAAAAACGGTATAAAAAGGTAACCTTTCCCCACTTTTTAATTAATAATTAATTAATTTCTTTTTTTTGAAAACAGTAATTAGGTAACATATAATATATATATATATACACACATCCCACTCCACAAATACAACCTTTTTTGCAGGTGGGACTCAATCATATCGATATTATGTAATGTTGATTTTGTTTAAAGCAAAAAAAAATAAATAAATAAAATATCTTTGACATATATATATATAAAATGGAACAAACTCGTATTTTGTATGTGTGACCATCAGTGTATTAGATATTCCACCAAAACAAGTAATGATAAACACAAAGTGTTCCAGTGATT